GCAAATATTAAACATTAACGGTTAGCACCAAATAAGGGAAAATTGATGGTCACACTGAAAGAGACAAAGTAAAACTTTGACCAGACCCCCTGGTTAGGAAACGGTCAATTGCTGCGAAGGACGCACTATATCGGTGGAATTCTACCACCGGACCTGCTTGAAGAAGGCCCATGAGACTTGGGCCTAAACATCGGTACTGGTCAGTCACTGGACCGATGACACTATTTTTTGCGTTGTGTAGTATTAAACCGCTGCGTTTCAATAAGAAATTATTATTATAAAAATTATTTATCTTCAACTTCATCTTCCATGACCGCTTCTCCTTTCGGGTCGCGGAGGCAGGCGCGTCAGACAGTGCTTCCAACGTTCCTGATCATGTGTCAGAGTCTGAGCTTCGGCAGAAAACAAAAATTATTTAAGGACACTTAATTTGAGTGAACTCCAAAAACGACATTTCAAATAACTGTATAATGATACAGTCAGAAGGGCACTGAGAGGATCATACTCATGCCAACTACTGTAAAGATCATAGAAAATATAAGATGGATGCAACGTCAATGCCAGCGATTAAGTTACTGGAACGCACAAGAAAAACCAGCTGGTTACAAATGAGTGAGCAAAGGAATGAAAATAAGTAAATGTATGTAACAGACACTGGATCTGCTGAGATAAAATCGACTTCTGGGCTACGGTACGCAAGAGAGAAAGAACAAACATTCAAATGATGGAATGCACTAAAAACAGCGACATCAAAGTAGCGAAGAAGCAGATCAAAGGAAAAATTGCTGCAGCCAGTGAGGATATGCAAGCAGTGGAGAAACCGTCGCTGATACGTCGAGACTGCATTGTCCTCCACTGGAATCTGTTCGTGATGAAAGCCTTCTATAATCATTCACTTCATTGAATTCATTGAGCTGAACGACAGTTGAGAAGACGCTGGCTGTAGTTCACACATGTTTCACCATCTCTTAATGATTGTTGAATGAAGACGCCAAAAAACTCACAAAAGAAGAAATGAAGGCAGAGACAGCAAAATACAAAAGACAGAAGGAAGAGTGAGTCATGCCAGTGGCACCTCTAGAAGCGACAGTAAATTGAATGAAAGGATGAACGACCTACGATGTCGGTAATCTAAAGGTTCATGAACTCAGCTTCGTAGCTTCGGCGTGCAGTGAGTGATGCACTAAAGGTCATGCTTACAATGCAACTACCGGAAATATTTCATGGCGGAACAAAGGGAATAAACCATTAATCACAGGATGAAAGTGGGTTTACTCAAAACATCATGTTGCACCAAAGAGTCTGTGCCCGTACCAAATGATGGTAACATTAAGAAAAGGTAGGAGCCGAGGCTCCACTGAAACTAAAGCATAGTTATCCGTCAGTCGTGTAAACCGGATGATTTCTCAATAGTCTTGTGCAGCCTTCTTTTGATTGACAACTAGTTGAACCTCTGATGTTTCTCAGGAACTTCGTTTCCGACGCTCTTAAAGAGGTTCTACTCAGTTGCCACGTCAGCCGTCATCACTGGCATCTGTTCAAATTGCACGCAATGAGGTTTGCCCTAGTATCCGCAGAAGACATATCCCTGTTTCCCATTTGATTTTCCGGTTGCTTCTGCCACAAGGTTTTCGCGCGGTATCGAATGTTTAGAGAAGAAGAGGCCAGCAATAAGTCGGTCATCGATTGAAAGTACCGCGATTCTTTTAATGCAAACGATGGGGCGGCAAAGAAAAACGATGCGATTATGAAACTGATCAACGACTTTTGCGTAAAAGTTTCACTACAGCAAGTATACGCACACCTGTTTAGAGACTCGAAGAAAATGTTCATAACAGATAGCTGCTATCTATACAGAAACGCAAATGTGATGCCATTATTTTTGAGGTTGCTAAGGATATTCTTAACAATCACACCTTCATATTTTTCCGTTTCTTTTATGACATGCGCATTGAAATCGTTCATCAGAATGAGGGCTTTTGTAGTCTGCACTTCGTACAGAGCGCCCACTGCTTCATCTAAAGTAAAGATTCACATGCTCTCTCCGCATCGGGTGCAAGAACCTGTAACAAGGCCAAAGTTTCATCTATTGCAACTAGAGTTGAGGATTGCAACGTCAAGGATTGTCCTCAACAAAGTCGAGGATTGCCACTCTTCCGTTGATAGTCCTTCATTCTTTGAGTCTGTTGGGCAGGTTGGGTTATAACGACAATGACCTGAGCGCCGGCTGATATCTATAGAAAAGCTAGCCACCTGCAGATGTTCAGAATTTCAGAGACCTAGGATTTCTCTGACGAGAGTTCCACATATGTCCAGATGAGAAAGCCAAGAGAGAAAATGTATGGACGCCTTTCTGCAATTTTTTTCGCGAAAGAGAACAGACAGTGACTCACGTTCGATCATCTGAGTTAGTGGTCAGACAACGTTATGAAATACTAATTTTCAATATGCATGGAGAAACCCGCCTGACCAAATATATTAGTCCCGCGCTAACAATGAGGTATAGATAGCGCAAGACTATGAATGCATATAAGTATATGGCATAATCATGGGCCCTCTGATTGTAAAGGATCCAACACCAGAGTCCCGAAGAGCGAGAGAAAAAAGCCTACAGATTAAAATGCAACAGTATGTATTCTCTTCTGGGTTGCAGCAATCGCGAACGCTTATGAAAAATTTTAAAAGGGACTGCTAAGGTCACAATGACGAACATGACTCCTTACGCCTCTAAGAAGAAGTTGACCTGGAGGCACCGCTGTAACAAAAATCAAAGAGAGGAGGTAAATATATGTATAAACTAACGATAAGGGATTTCAAATTTGTCGATCATATCGTGCACTCTCTGAACGGAGAAAAATCATACTCTAACCGGCAAACGAAAGCGAAATTTCTAATGATAACGGAAGAATGTCATTCGAAACTGTTGAAAATGGAAATTCACCATAAGATGATGAATAGTTTATCAGCCTTCGTTCAAAACAAAGACAATCTGTTCTTCATTTATTTAATCAAACATTTTTTGTTGGTCAGTTAATTAAATGCTCGTGTTTTATGAACAGAAGGTAAAAATAGTTAATGACCTGGAGAGAACGTCGCAACAGGTAATAAGAGTTTTCATCTCGATCACTAACGTGTTCAGGGCAGTCAATTCTTGCCTGAAGACCCCAATATCACAACTTGAGCTGAGATTAGACAACGCCTTCAGGTACTGTGGTACGATTGCCTGCATGATAACCTGAAAACAGAATTTTAAGTACTGAACAATTAAGCATAAATATTTGTGACATTACAAGTTACTAGTGATGAATAATATCATGGCCGCTAGGCGCAATCAAAACCTTAGAGAACTATGAGAGATAGCGACTAAAGTTATAACAGTCAGTTAACAGAAAACAGACAAGTTCCCGTCGCTTTTGATAGACTGATTAACAGCGTCCTAGCCAACATATTCAACGAAAGAATTAGTAAATGGAAATGAGAACTTCTAAATTCGAGAGAAAAAATATTCATAAATGGCCGTAACAATGAAGCAGCATATACAATGCATGTTGTAAGTGGCGATAGCGTACGTAACATATTTAGGATATTTTCATAGTTTCTGCCATAATTGAGGAAGTTTGATAGTACTGCACTGCAGTGCTGTTCAGCTGTAGATAAAGACTAACCGAAAATAACCGCCGTTTAAAAATCTAACAGTCTTCTGCGTTAGATTCTCTGATTCCTTTATCCATTCATTCACTCGTTCAATTGCTTTTTCATTTTCAAAGCCATCTATCTCATTGAAGTTAGGAGAAGAGCAACTTCAATAGACCTTCCCGATGATGCTGCTCCATAGCCCGCATAGACAAAATTCCATAGACCACCTAGACCTCATTCCAAGGTAGTCTCCTGTATTACGATAGATGAAAAACTGAATCAACATAGGTAGGTTCATTCATTCCACTCCAAAGGTCAACGGCGGTTAAAGAATACACCGGGTCGTATTTATTTATTTTACAGTTGATGCCAAAAATTTGTAATAAGGCACTTCACCATGGAAATGGAAACACTTTGACAAATTATCGGTGCCCCGGGTCATTTAACGTCACAGGTGAAAATAGATCGCACTATTGGCATATCAGCAGAATGGCTGTACATTCGATAAGCAGCAATTCCTTTTTCAATATCTAAAGAAGAGCCAAGTGATGAACATACATAGATGTTTCTGTCACAAATAGGTGACATAATCACAAAAGACATTTTGTGAAAGATTTCTTCTGGAAATGATTGCAGACAAAAGGCAAAGTTAAGGCAATTTAGCTGATCGAGCGTTGACTCCTGAATATTGAAATCAAATAAACTGGATGAATATCTCGTATTATAATAAACTGGACTCGAATCCGGGGAATCTCACGTTCTGACCTTCCAAATTCGATAAATTACTACCATAGTGCGCAAAGTTACCAGTCAGTCGGTTGGTCTGTTTGACTCTCTGCCTCTCAGTCGGTCGGTCGGTCGGTCGGTCGGTCAGTCAGTCAGTCAGTCAGTCAGTTGTCAAATCAGTAAGTCAGCCAGAATAACCTAAGTGAGCCCCAAGGACACCAACTTTTAGATGCTGCTTTTGAAAAATGAAGCACTCCTCGCTGGTTACATTTAGAGAATCATGGGGAAATGAGCGTCACACTATAAGTTCGATGAAAAAAATGTTTTACGAGCCATGAAGGTGTTTCGAAGGATAACACTCTAGTGCAAACCTTTCTTCCTCTTTAGCAGTGACCAGGGAATTAAGAAAACATTTAATAGTGTAGTTAGCAATGATAATGCGGCATAAAACGGAGAAACTTGGCCAACGTGATTTCGAAAAAAAACTAGAGTTCGTAGGTAACAGCCATGTTACTGATACAAGATATACGTAGACACATGAAACGATGTGATTCAGGCGTCCACATAATTACACAGTTTCCATTTAACAGGTAACAACAATTAACATACAAATATTTTTTGAAAATTTAAAATGCGTTTACATAATAACGCATATGCTTCAAGTATTGAAACATACCAGCATTTGGTATGCGCGTCTTGAATCTGGAGCGTAGGCACAAATTGTAATGCAGCTGGCGATGGCATCGTTTGAAATAGAAAACGTATCCGGATCGTCCCGGTAGCACAGGTCAATGGCCTTCAGAGGCTTAGCGGCCTTCACCAAGCTCAGTATATCAAGATGGTCTTTCAGGTCATCAAGATTTTCCAGCGATGCCAGAAGTTCGTAAAAGTGACTTGCCTTTACCTTAAACCGAAAGTAGTAACCAGCATTCTTTCATGGCGCATGAAATTGCATACCTCAGCGTAACAGAAGTCTTCCTCGTTATCATTCAAATCCAATATATTTGCGACGGACCCAAACATCTAAAATTTTATTTCTCTTTATGAAATTACTGCAAAATATTAGTTCAAGATAATGCTTTATCTTCTATCGATGTTTATGCTAGGCTAAGGTAGGACAAAAAATGGTCGCTGAAGCTTACAAATCTGTCGATCTTCAGTGCTCGCAACTATTTCAGGCTGCTCGAAAAACAGCATCCGACGAACCTTTCGATCAATTGGGTACCCAATCAATCGAATACGCTCTAGCGGCACCGCTTTGAAGGGCACGAGGAGCTCTCTCAATGACCGTTTGCGGAGCTTCGGTAGTCGATGGTTCATAACTGACCTTCAGAGCTACCGCAGAGGCTGGGAGACATACGCTACATTATATTCGATCTCACATGTTGTTGTTTGATCCATGCGCCTTCAGCGACGCCACAGCTGAGTTATTGACAACATCTGCGCAATCCAGAACCCGTAAATTAAATTTTAAACTACCTGTAAGACGAATGGTTTGCGGTGCATGATGTAGAACTGTTTGCAGGTGAACTTGATCGCGTCACACAGCAACGGATTGGTTTGATACTTTGAGAAGCATCGCAGGATCGTCGGCATTATGAAAAAGAACCTGAAGGACAAATATGGACGGTGCCGTGGTTTCAGATTGATGGTTACAAAAATCACTTCTTACCCGTCCATCGAAAACACGACTCTGAAATGGTACGCCATTTCGATGTAGAAGGCGAGACAGTGCCTAAGCAGTACCACATTCTCGCAATGAAGAATCAGTACACCGTTGATGACGTTGATGAAGAGGTTCAGGTCGCAGTAGGCGTACTCCAATCCGCGCAACAACAGATGTATTAGCTACAACAAAGCACAACGGTCGATGGCACCATTCTGATACACTCTCAAAGCTCTTTAATACTTTTGACCAAACAAGCTTGTGTGAAACTTCCATCCCATACAGCTCTTGGCTTGAGGCATCGGCGAAAAAGTCCTTGGAAGTCTCCAAGGCCTTTCGAGGAAACGACGGTAGCCTGGTCAGTTCGTCATGAAGAAAATAAATCCTTTCTTGCATCTGAAATGGTCACCGTAATCGTGCATAAGCTTAGGACGATACTTGCCATGCTATCGTCTGCTCGCTGTAACAACGTTAGGCTAAGCAGCACCTTATTCATTTCGATGGATTTGAGGATGAACATCTGCGTAAACAAGAACTGAGGTGTCTTGTAGTTTAAATTGTGACCTTACAGTTCTGCGTAAATTCTTCTCAGCCGTTGGCAAGTCCACGTGTGTCAGTTTCAGCTGTGGGTAAGTAGACCGATGGAAAAAGTAAAAGTCTCGCACGAAGTTCAACGGATTATGAAGCATGCCTGAAAATCAACAACTGTCCAAAGTAAAATCTTGTAATGTCATGAAATATCAAATATAAAAAAAGGTTCTGAAAAATTAACGGAGCGAAGGTAGTGAAGTAGGTGAAAAACCTGCAGTGTAGCCCGGTCCAATATGCTGCACTCCATAGGCTGATTTATGCGCACTACAGGGTGCGTTAATAATGGAATTATACATAAAGGAATGTCACGCACGTCGCTGATTGCACAACATGTAGCTCTTCAAACCAAACGCGAGGCATTACTCTGTCATACGCAAAAAACTATCCAAAATGATAGTTAAATTATCATGGACAAGTAATGCTGTCTATACGGATAATGACGAAGAAAAGACTCACAGATGCATTACACGCTCGATAACATATGCCCCTACCTATCATAACGTAATTAGCATCGCATTCTTCATTTATGACAGCAATCTCGTCGTCAGTATCGTACGGAATGTTACATGAGGGAACGTGTTAAGCAAGTTCGAGGATTTCTCAACACCTAGCTCTTCAAATCAGAAAAGAACCATTGTTGCTCAGTCACAGATGATAAGCAGTTTTCTCCAGGATGAGCGTCAGATTGTCGATGATAAGCGTGACAATCTTGATGGTAATAATGACGAAAATGAGACTCCCAGTATTGACGATTGCATGGTTGATAAAAGATTAAGAATCTACTGCTGATTCGGTTACGAGAAGTGGGG